CGGCTCTGGACAATTTCCTAAATACGCCCCTGGTTGAGGTAGATTACGTTTTTAGTTCCTTTAAAAGAATTAAAAACAATTATGGTAATTATAAAGCAAGGTAAATGTAACGATACACAAATGACACTGAAATATGAACAATTAATAAAATATAGCGATTTAATATAATATACAAATTTTAGAACATAAATTGCATACAATATTTTCATATTTTTATTCAACTACAAAGCAAGAGATTATACAAACAAAAGAATCACAATCTACTATAAAATTTGGACCCGCCTAACCTAAGGTTGTTTTAATTGGTTGGCCCATTATATAAGCGAATGAAAATTGTAAATATATATGGATGTACACTGTACATCCATATTAATGATGATAAATCAGGAAAAAGATAAGAAGTTGTCGAGGAAGTATAATTGGGAAAGGGCGGGTGTGCAGCGGAAGGGTTAGAACAGAGGGTAACATACGTTATTAAAATCATGTTTATGAACTGCAGGGTGAAGAAGATATAGTAAAGATTAAGTTTATCCACATACAAACACAGTTTTTTTTACAGATATAACTATCTTCATATATTAGTTCTATCTATTATACCACCCTGCACAGCCTACTATATAAGAAATATCGATAGACGGAAAGTACAGCTTTTATTTTCATTTATCAGCAAATTAATTAAGTTTTTGCCACAAACTCTGATATATCTTTGCAATCCAATGTGGTAGACCTTAGATATTTTAAAATTGGAATTCTGTTATATCAAATATTAGTGAAAGTTCAAATGTTCACAACAGTAGGTTGCAAAGATATAGGGATTAGAAAATCAGAGTTTGTGGTGAGAACTCAGTTCCTTTGAGACTTTTCTCAACACAGAGGTTCAGCTAAAAACTTCAAAATGCTTTCAATTATTTAATATGAGAAATTATATCACATATATGTTAAGAATGGAGAGTAGTATATTAGTACTAGTTGGATATTATGAAACTTCTCTACACACTCTCCTGGTTACAGAATATCTAGAGGGTGGAGAGCTTTTTAACAAGGAATATCTTTAGAACTTTAACACTAATAGTTATGTATTATAAGAAATTACAGAAACTTTTCATTTAATAGAAAATTAAATACTTGCTTATAATTACGTTTCAACGATTTCTCCGTGTAGTTTGCAAAATTGCAGTAAAAATAAAAATAAAGGAGTTACACGGTCACAAGGTCATACCAGTAGATTTTCATGTACTGAATATAATTTTCAGGTTGAAATTATTTCTTTATAACGATCCAATGAATGAACATTTATTTTTAAGAATTCACAAAAGATCAATTTCGACCACTGAATGTATGCAGAATTATCAAGGTTTGAAAATTTGGAAATCCACAATACAGTTCTTTAAGATATTTTGAACAGATCACAGATTCTTCCTATTGCCTGACAGAGAGAAAATGTCGAGGATTTATTAAACAGATAATTCAAGGACTCAACTATATTCATCAGCATGGTATCATTCATCTAGACATCAAACCACAGGTCAGGACTGACCAGTTTTCGTTTAGATATTTTATTTGAAATAAATTCTTAAAGGAAACTTTTGAATGTAGACTCGAGAGGTTGTCTGAAAACCTGTCACCGATTAACACTAATCCTTAAGAAGGGCTGGTTTAACAGTTTAAGAACCCAGCTATGCCTGAAATATATAAACTTTCCATTTACAAGCCGAGGAACTCAACCTAGTACTTTTTAACCCAGACAAAACTAAGAAAATTGTACAACAGAGTTCCTCAATCAAATTTGAGGCAAATCAGTTAAAGATTAAGAATTATGATCAAACATCCAAACAAACAGAGATTACTACTTTATTAATATGACGTAATATGTAATAATAATATTTCATTAAAACTACATAATTTCAGTAATGATCTGAGTAACAATTTTATTAAGAACATCATGCTGACTCATCCAAACAGGGATGATATCAAGCTCATTGACTTTGGGTTGGCCAAGCTCATGAAGGATGGCAAGATATTTGCAAGTAAGTGTGATTAACAAAATTATTTTGATATAAATTAGATAAATACTGGCCCCATTTTTATTATTTGACCTTTGTATAAAGCTGATGCTTTAAAATCACGTTTAGAAATATTAAATATATATTTCAAAAAAGAAGCACGCGTTGCACATAGATCCAGGCTGCCATGAATAGTTGAATAAATTTCCACGATTACGCCTCTTTGATTTTACCTAACTAACTCGAAAACAAATGTTGTAGCCTAGACAAATACATTTTAGAATTATAAACGCAGTAATTGACAAAATTCTCATCAATTTTCGCTTGAGAGCTTGCAACCTTTGAATCACTGTGGTTGATACATACGTAAAGGGAGTGTTCGCGAAAAATTAAAGAGGGTGGCTTACGGCGAAAAATAATTGATGACTTTAGATTGTAATATCTGAGTGATTTGATTAAAATTAAATTGATTATTTTATGATACGAGTCGTATATTTCAACTTTCTGAATTTGTATGGACGCTACGTTCTTCAGTATAAGTCGTTTTTTAACAATTTTCTCCTCATTGACGCAACAGATAGAAGTAAGATTAGTAGCGATCAAAAGCGATTATTTTTTGCCGTAAACCCATACCCCCTTTAATTTTTTTCGCGAACACTCCCTTTAACTTCTATTATGGTTCATCATATCAACCCTTTTATTGTTTGCAAACAAATTTTGAAAGAGATTGTAAACATTATTTCAAAGCTTGCTATTTAAGCGGACACGCCACATAAAAAATAAGTGGTCACTTGAAATTTCGTCCACAGTCTCTTTAAGGTATAATGAATTTTTCATTTGTCCCTTTAACTGCAGGTTTTACTGGAACTATTGGATTCATGGCACCAGAAGTACTCAATTGTTCCCAGGTAGCTGCAGTCTAGTCAGGTTTTTAATCAGAAACTTTTCCAATTTATCAAAAATAAATAAAAGTTTAGCAAATAATTGGATAAATATAAAACGAATTTTAAGAATTCATAAAGCAAAACATAAATAAATCCAACACATTTTCAACAAAAGCTGAATTCTAATAATGCTGGGTTTTCCTTTGATAAACATATCCCAAAAAAATACACCCTAGAGCCTTACACTACATTATAATATATATATAACATATACATTCATAGTTATAAACATGTTTACAGTTCTTATTAAACAAGCAGATGATGTTTTCAAAAATTAAATAAAAACGTATCGTAAATTTTTTTTTTCAACCATGCAATTTGAATTTTATCGAGGTTTTTTACTGAATAGAGTTAGATTAATAAGTTAGTGAAATAAATTATTATTTTTAGGCTGGCCCAGGTACAGATTTCTTCAGCTTGGGAGTTGTAGCATACATGCTTCTATCTGGAGGATACGAACCCTTCTGGTTAAACAACGACGAAAAAACTATAAAAAGAACTTTACACATGGAAATCAAATATCTTCAGATGCTCTCACCCTCAGCAAATAGTTTTCTCTCTGGTCTGCTAGGTAAGAAAATATAATATCGAACGCTTCTATTTTATAAAAAAAAGTGCGCAAATGTAGCGACCAACAATTGGGGTATTCAAGTGAAAAAAAGAAAAGAAAAGTAAATTAGAAGAGAAAAATATATTTAACAGCTTCTTGCTTTTTCAAAAAAAATGTCATTAAAACAATTTTTACTTCTCATAATGTATTAGATGTTTTCTTTTTTTTATCCCTTTATAATTTAAGTTTCAAATCCTCTTAAACAAAGTAAAAATAAACTCTAAAAGTTATGATAAACCTTTCAGCAAAACAATTAACGGAGCGGTTACAAGGGTTACCTTGTCTTTCTCATCCTTGGGTTCAAGGGATACAGGAGGAACAAGGTTATAATAATAATATTAACAATAATATAATAAATAATAATAATAATAATAATAATAATAATAATAATAATAATAATAATAATAATAATAATTATAATAATAATAATATTAATAATAACAAGAAATAACAATAAGAATGATATTGATGATAATAATGATAATCACAATGATTCAGATTCATCAATGGAGAAGATTGTGAACACAATGCATATTAAATCCTACATGGCACGGTAAGAATCCTAGATTCTGGGTATTCTGATTCTTCTGACACATCTTGAAAACTGATGACTGTTGTTTATAAAATAGGAAAAGCAGGAAGTTATGTAGACAATTTTGCCTAAAAACTGAAAAAGTGTTCTTAAATATTTTAACAATTTTGAACATACAGTAATCATGTTCATGCCACAAAACTTGTTAAATATTTCAAAATTCTGTAATATCAAACATATAAAATTTTAAATGTCAAAGATAAACACTATCAGGTTGCAAAGATATAGGGGTTAGCAAATTTAAGTTTTTTGCAAGAACTAATTTTTTTCGTATAATTAGGACAAGATGGGGCAAAGCTATACGAGCAGTAAGGTTTGCAGTGAGAATGAAAGCAGTTGTGGTTCCTAACCTACCCGGAGTATACCCTGTACAATACCCTGATTTTATATCTACAGAGATACCAATATATGTATAGTAATTTCACAAATAAAATAACGTAAAGAATAATAAAGATTTACAATTTTTTAACAAATTATGAAGCATACATTCAGAATTATCTCAAAATATTGGGACTCCGATGATGAATTTTCCAACAGTACATTTATTTTGAATTACAAAATACAAAATTTAGATCTGATGGTTTATGATTTACAGGATTTTATTTAGTTTTCTTTGTTAAACAACCATTTCCATTATAATTGTATACATGAATGTTTCTTTATTTCAACTTACAATACATAATTGTGAGTCATTTACTAAAACAAAACCCTGAAGGTGCAGTTTATGTTTAAAGATGATTAAATTACAATGCGAATTTTATTAATGCCCTGGGACCGAATTAAATAAATTTGAACGGCCTACTGTCGGTTTTAATTTGAATCAGCAATTCAAATCCTTTCTTAAAATTTAACTTTGAATCGGCGGTTCAAATTTGAACCGGCGGATGGTAGTTCAGCGACATAGGTTTAGAGGGACTGACGCTATAATTTTAAGTGTACCTCTGTTTAAAAAATGCATGCCCAATTCACAACGGTACCCTTAAAATATTTATCGCCTAAATAATAGGGAAGAAAACGTAGTTTGTCTAGTTCCTTAAAACTACGTTTAAAAACCGTTTAACAATTCAATATTTCGTTTCCGTATCTCGTTTGCAGAAAAATAAATCGCTGCGTGCGAATTTCACAAATAGGCGCACGATGAAATCCGGGATATTTGAACGAAAAAAAATTAGCCTCAATTTAGTGCACAATTTGCGGGAAACTTTACTTCCGGTAAAACCCCTTGTACAGTGTGAACTTCTAACTATGAAAGATACTAAATTGTAATATTTTTCTTTACAAGACGACATTTAAACATTCAAACTAAGAAATGTGAGAGTACTGAAAATATTCTTTCGATTTTTAAAAGCTGAAATCAAGGTATATTCATTAGCGTTTCAGATTATCGTTTCACAATTGTTTATTTAAATTATTTTAAGTTTTATATTTAATTTTTGGAAAATTTATTTTAAATAATTTTGATAATTTTTTGTGTATTGTCTACAATTTAGTTCTTACCTGGTGGTATAAACAAAATAACTTAATTCTCCTAAAGCTGTAAAAGCTGAAAAAAGTGTAAAAAATCTACAAATAAATATAATATGAATTATAAAAAAAAAGATACCAAAAGAAGCCAGCCTTATAGATCGTTACGAATAAAGGTTGTTTGTCATCAATCAATAATCTGTATTCTCTAATAATACTCTTAGGTTTCTTGGAGACCTCACAACATAAACATAAACATATAAACATAAATCAAATTATGTAAATTAAGGAAACATTTATTCATTTTTATAGATGGAACTTTTTTCACAAATGTTCATTCCTTCATAAAAAGCTGGTTTTTTGGTATGCAACAATTTTCATTGAATCCCGCTACTCTAAAATCATTTCAATTGCTTTAAATAAATTGAATCCCGTCTGGTTTTCAATGGTTTTACAACTCTTCTCTCGACAACGACAAACATTACAGTCAGAAATTGATTTCATTCTAGGCAACATTATTAAACTTGCCCAATGCCCGTCCCTGCTTTTTTCTCTCAAACACTATAAATATATTTTTAAGAACATTTTCTATTTTATATCTTTGAATCTTTCCTCTCACATAAATTTGACGAGTTTAAAATTTATTGTTTGAGACTTATTAACTAGTACACAATTTACAGATTAAGTTTGCAACTAAAGGCACTGATTACTCGCTATAAGTTATGGCAAGAATATAAAGTTTAAAACTATCAATGGTTTACACCTTTAAATTGCAAAAATATACATTTTATTTTTTAGGCTAGGGCGTTGAAAGGGGGTGGTATGGGGGGTAATTATTGATTTTTAGCTACAGGGCTGTTCTTTATAACGTTAACAGGCCCTTGAAAAATGCAATCCAATGGTGCTATTAAAGTTGTCATATTTTGACACAGGGTGTCTAAAAAAAAGAAAAAACAGAAGAAATTTTTTTTAAAAATGTTAAAAAAAGGTGTGTTAAAAAGTTATAACAAAAAAGCATGTTTTTTCAAAGGAACATTATCTAATAACTGTGTAACCAGATCGAATATTTCAACAGCAAACAAAATCCCTTCAAATAATGTAATAACTTAGGTGTACGCAAAACTTTGGCTTCCCATGCCTTTTAGTTTGACTTCCAAGTGGATACATTTTCCTCGCCGTAAAAACCATTCCTCCAGCTCTTGATTTTGATTATCTCATGATCCAGCTTCATAGAGAATGTAAGATAGGATAAATGTATGAAGGTTTAGAATGTATCTCACTTCTCTTGGACTTTTTTTTGCAGATTCTAAAAGTAGAGCACAAGAGCTTTCTAATGATGTATCATTTGTCATATTTGGACATTAAACATGGGATTTAGAGGGGGGGGGGTCAAATTGACCCCCCCCCAGCGTATCCTGGTTTTCAAGTACCCCAGCGGGGATAGGGTTAAATGGCTTGCAATAGGTCTGTCAAAAATTTTCTATGGACTAGCTCCATTTTCCCGCGTTGCTTCTGTTGCTGCTGAGCCTTGAAGAGTAAAAGGTTAAATTTCCACAAGGTAGAGTTAAATTCATCTTGTTTCAGCTGACCGCAGAATCTCTTTTATCTTAAGACATACCCTTCAGTCTCGCAAATATTTCTCATAAATAATCTCGTTCATTTTGACGTATGGATGCTAGGAAAGTAATGACTGATGTCCGACTGTTTAGTGTTTATTGTTTGATGTTGGCGGAGAACTGACCATTTGAAGAAGAATAAATATCAGATTTCCATAAGGCACAGTTTAATTCAACTTAATCCATCTTGTTTAATGAAAGAGAACTTGGTAAAAACCTTAGAAATTGTTCCAGGCTCATAAATATTTCCCTAAGATAATCTTTTCGTGGATACTGGATACTAATATAATAAAAGTGCGACTGTTCATGTCGAATGCTGAAAGAGAACTGACTGATTTCAAATTGGAATTTGTGAATTTTGTAAAAAAAAAAAGCGGATTTTTAAATGCAGTGTTTGATGAAAAATCCCGCCGGGTTTCAATGAAATTTTTTATTTATGCTTGCACAGGTGAAAACCAGCTTTTTAAAAAGGAATGTCATTTACTCTCAGACAAATTTCCATTGATTCTAATTTGTCTGAGAGTAAATGATACATTTATTTTTCAGATAGAATGGCAGAGATTATGAAGAAAGAAGTAGATGTCAAGGAATCTGAGATAATCTCTACTGTAGAGGAAATATGTTTTGTTAATATACCTGAAGATGAAATCAAGCAGGAAAATACAGAAATACAAGGTAAACTTAACAATTCTTCATCTTGTAAATTTAAGTTTAATATTTAAAAGTTCAAATGAATTACGGAATTGAGTCGTAACTGGTTTATATTTAAATTGTACATGGTTTAGAGTGCCACCAGCATTGACACATGGCCGAGATAATAAAGAAAGAAGTAGATGTAAAGGAATCTGAGATAACCTCTACTGAAATGATCACATGCTTTGTGAATAAACCTGAAGATAAAATAAAGCTGGAAAATACAGAAATGAAAGGTAATCTTGATAAATTTATATTTTCTTTAAGAATAGAAGCGAATTGTGTTTGTAGAGGGGGGGGGAAGGTTGTGAGGTATTTATAATCATACTAGGCTTTTAGGGCGCTTCGCGCCCATCTTCTTTTTAAATTGTGAACTGCATGTTCTTTTTGTTTACATTTAAAAACAAAGAAGAAAATAATTTTGCGGATTTTAAAAAAAATTCGCGGATTTTCAAGAATTTTAATTTTTTTACAAAATTAAAAAATTTTAAAACACATTTTTTAAAATTTGCATCATTCATAAACCTTCCCTGTGGTCACGTGATGTACCACAAAAAATTTGGGCCCAGTCGGTTAAGCCGTTTTGACATTTATTGGATACAAACAGACAGACAAACAAACAGACAAGCCAAATTTATATATATATATGGAACTGATGAAAAATTAAAAGCTGGACAATACAGATATACTTGGTTGACAGTAGATTATGAAAAAAATTATAACAGAAGCGCAACTCAAGGGCCAAGGCCTGAGTTTTTTTAATCATGAAAAAGGAAGTACAGTAATAGGAGATTTGGATAATGTAATACGAAAATTTGGCAAAGACAATAAGCATTCTATTGAAGAGTTAACCTTTTTACAATGTAAAAATTGGTGGATATTTGTTTGAACTACTACTATTTGATACTATTGTGCATTTAGACTACTGACATGACGTCATAACTTGTAGTTAAATTAACACAATGTTTGCTCTTTTGAACTATTTTCTTTGAACATCAGCAGTTTTATAATTTGAGATTGGATGTAACTTGAAGTATAGGATAGAAATCAAGCATCAAAAAATAGTTTGAATAAACACAAATATATTTCAAAAGTTTATATTTCAAGAAATATATTTCAAATGAACATATTTCAAATGAACGTAGTTCATATTAAATAGTTCAAATAAAATAGTTCAGATGAACATAAAATTAGTGCAAATGTACATAATAATGCTCCACTTTTCAACAAATTTAAAATTGATAATATTTGCAAAGTTTAAGATGAAAAAACTTGATATTTTCTTAGGTGTTTAAAAAAAATTAGTTTTAAATTATCTTTTTTAACAGATTAAATGGTAGATGTTATTGCACGTGGATTTAACGGTTCTGTCAATATTTCAGAAAACTTTGACTTTCGATCACAATTTGACCCCTTTTCCATAATTTTACAGCCTTTTATCTCAAATATTGTTTTGTTGGCATATACATTTTAAATGAAAAAGTATAAAACATACAAATCTGTAAGTCTAAAGACTGTTGAGTCTTAGACAAAAACACGTTATAATTCAAATAAAAGAATGCTTCTCTCTCTCGTTAGTTCAGGGTGATTGAGATGTGTTTAATCAATCATCTCTGGAGACATCGAAGCTTTGTTCAATCAATCAATTAATAATTTTATCAAAATCTGACAAGTGAATGTGGGTATAAACAAAGATTTAGTTTGTTACAGGCAAAAACAGTCTTTCAGGCATGTGCCTGAGGACTCAGGCAGTTAGTATTAAAGCCCGGTTTTAGGCCTAAAGGGAGGGCTTTGGGTATGTTAGAAAAGTCTGAAAATTTCAACAGCCTCAGACTAATACTTTCTGAGTTATGTAAAAAAAAACTACAGGGGGGGGTCAAATTGACCCCTCCCCCCCAGCAGGAATAGGGTTAAGTCTGGGACATCGAAGTTGTGTTTAATCAATCAATCTACTCTGATAGTTTAGATGTCGTCCTTATCTTATTAAAGAAAAGTCAAAATGTCGTCATACTTTATAAAAGTAATCAGCTGTTCACGGCATCTTTTCTTATAAATCAGCTGATCTGTTCCAGTATATTATGGTACATACATCTACACTTTAGGAAATTTATTTAACTCTGGTGGAGAACTTATTGTTATAGTACTTCTTAGCTCCATTATTTTTTCCTTGATTTGATTTGTATTTTTAATTGTGTTTTGTTCTTGATTAATTTTATAGAATTTCAGCTATCTTTAAAAACTTAAACTTTATAACCAAATTATTTGTAAAACATGTCATTTCTGTAATTTATTTTTATACTTCTAATTTTCAGATATAGAATGGCAGAGACTCAGAAAGAAAAATTAGATTTAGATGAGTTTGAAATTAAAGAAGAGATAGTTTTTATCAATGAAGAAATACTTCCCTCCTCTACTGAAGAGGATACATTTTCTGTGGATATAGATATGAAAGGTAAACTTGAAAATAATTGAAAGCTTTACATTTTCCTACAAGTCTTACATTTTCCTACAAACTATGAAATATTTTACATGAGTTCATAATTTAGAGATAATGAACATAAAACACCCCGCCCTTCCCGAGTACACAAAGAAGCGAGTAACTCTTCAAAAAATAACTCTTAGAGAAAATAAACTGCTTAATTATTTTGTGAGTGAAGATTATCTTGGTAAAAGAATAAATCTTGAGGTGAGGAAGAATTTACCCCTAGAGCGAACCAATGTATATCTAGGTGTACAAGATGTTGAAAACAGTAAACCTGTATTTGATCCTGGTTTTCACTCTGAGCTAATCATTAAAGACGGATTTGAGGATGGAAATTTAGGTAATTTGGAGAATTGTATATTCTAATAAAAAAAAACATACAAATTATAAATAACAGGTAATCTTTTAAATATAATTTATGTTATTCTATTCCAATGGAAGTGGTGAAGTGAGATAGACCCTACTCTAATTTCTTTCTTTATATTGATGGGGGAATATTTTATTTATTTATTCAATTGCAAGGTTCTTAAAATCCATTTTCTTCAGTAAAATTTGTTATTTAGGTTTTAAGGTTACAAAAATATAGATTCGTATTTTTACAGTTTTTTTATATTGATTTAGCAAAAGAAACTTGTTGAATATTATTAAATAATACTGTCGTTGTTCAGGTGAAAACATGGATGACAGATTTGTTGATTTTAAATCAGAACCAAAGCGAAACAAGAAGCGTAAAGTGAAATACGCTTGTATGGAGTGTGAGTATGTTGCAACTCAAGCAGGCAATTTAAAAACCCACATTGAAAATAAACATAAAGGAATGAGATATCCTTGCTCTAAATGTGAGTTTGCTGCGACCACAACACGCAGTCTGAGAACTCACATTGAAAGCATATATGAAGGAGTGAAATATTCTTGTTCTCAATGTGAATATATTGCAAACCATGTAAGTACTGTGAAGATTCATGTTGAAAGTAAACATGAAGGAGTGAGATATCCTTGTTCTAAATGTGAGTATATTGAAAATTATAAAAGTTCTCTGAAGGTTCATGTTGAAAGTATACACGAAGAAGTGAGATATCCTTGTTCTAAATGTGAGTATATTGCAACTCAAGCAAGTAGTTTGAAGAAACATATTGAAGGTTAACACAAAGGAGTGAGATATCCTTGCCCTCAATGTGAGTATATTGCAACGCATGTAAGTGCTCTGAAGTGTCATGTTGAAAGTAAACATAAAGGAGTGAGATATCCTTGCTCACAATGTAAGTATGTTGCAACTCAAGCAGGCAATCTAAAAACCCACATTGAAAATAAACATGAAGGAGTGAGATATCCTTGCTCTCAATGTGAATATGCGGCTACTATAGCAAGTGATCTGAAGATTCATGTTGAAAATAAGCATGAAGGAATAAGATATCCCTGCTCTCATTGTTTTTAATTTACATTTACATTGTGAGGCTTCGAATTTATCAATGTCTTAATCATTGAATTTTTTGCAAAATAAATTCTTCTCATTTAACTGGAGCCCATCTGAGCCCAAATAATGTAAGAAAATTTACATCTTATGGACTGAAAATAAAATAATAAGATTTAAAAGATTAAACGTCTTCTACTATTCAGGATCAAAAATTGTTTGTGGATTTGATCCTCTGCAATCTGAACCTAAACCAAAGAGAAGCAAAAAGAATAAAGAAGAAATTCTATGTTTTATAAATATGAGAAAACTGCTACTACAGCACGTGATCTGAAGATCTAGGTTGAAAGTAAACATACAGACAAGAGATATCCTTGCTCGAAATGCGAGTATGCTGCAACTCGAGCAGATAATCTGAAGACACATGTTAAAAGTAAACACAAAGGAATAAGATTTAGGATTATTTAAATCACTCAATTAATCAACTAAATTAAATGTTCTGAACTGAATAAACCAGTTTTCTTTTCAACAGAAAGTAATGGTGGCATGTCTGTATTTTTTCATAATTCAGATAGAATGGCAGAGAATATGAAGCAAGAAGTAGATTTCAAGGACTCTGAGATAACCTCTACTGTAGATGATACATGTTTTGTGAATATACCTGAAGATCAAATAAAGCTGGAAAATACAGAAATAAAAGGTAATCCTGATAAATTTATATATTCTTTAAGAATAAAAGCACATTGTGTATGTAGGGGGGGGGGTAGGGTTGAGAGGTATCTATAATCATTTATGGAGCTGATGAAATATTAAAATTTTAACTTTTACAGAGAGCAAATCTTGTAATTTTCAAATTAAATTAATCATNCATTTTCCATAACATTCCGATTTTTCTAACCCCAGGGAAATTTTAATTTGAGTTAACTGAATTTTCAAATTAAATTAGTCATGTTTACACAGTTGCCTTACTGACTCCAGAGAGAAAGGACCTATCTTATGTATCAATATATTTATAAAGACTAAATGTCCCCAATAAAAATGTAAATAAATGTTTGAATAAGTATTTGTTTCACACTAACAAACTTTTTAAGTATAAATAATTGATCCACTATTTAGAAGAAAACCTGGATTCCGAATTGGATCCTCTGAAATCTGAACCAAAGAGAATAAGGAGGACTCAAAACAAATATCCATGTTCTCAATGCGAATATTTTGCATCAACAACAAGTAATATGAAGAGACATGTTAAAATAATTCATTCAGGGTTAAAACATCCCTGCCCAAATTGTAATTATGCTGCAACTACAGCAGGTCACCTGAAGAGACATGTTGAAAGTAAACATGAAGAAGTGAGATATCCTTGCTCTCAGTGTGAGTATGCTGCAACAAAAGCAAGTTCTCTGAAGAGACATTTTGAAAATAAACATGAAGGATTAAGATATCCCTGCTTTCAATGTGAATATAGTGCAACTGTCGTAAGTAATCTAAAGAGACATGTTGAAATTAAACATGAAGGAGTAAGATATCCTTGTTCTCAATGCGAACATGCCGCAACTTCAGCAAGGGATCTGAAGAGACATGTTGAAAGTAAACATGAAGGATTGAGATATCCCTGCTCTCAATGTGAATATAGTGCAACTGACGGAAGTAATCTGAAGAGACATGTTGAAAGTAAACACAATGGAGTGAGGTATCCCTGCCCAAAATGTGAGTTCGCTGCAACTAGAGCAGATGCGCTGAAGATTCATGTTGAGAGTAAACATGAAGGGTGGAGATATTATTGCCCACAATGTGAGTTTGTCGCAACTGCAGCAATTAATCTGAAGAGACATGTTAAAAGTAGACATTAAGGAATAATATATCCTTGTCCTAAATGTAAATATGCTGCAACTCTGAAAGGAGGTCTGAAAAAACGTCTAAAAAATATTCATAAATAAGTTCAGATATCTGTCTCACTGCGATCAAGCTGCAAAAGAATTTCACACAAATTTACTATGAATGAGGGCTATCAAACATTTAATTTTTTGGTTTAAAACTTGTCAAATAAATAAAATGTTATAACTGTAATGTCACAATTGCAAGATATTTTTAATTTTAAATTGCTTGAGATTTTTTTGATTCATTTTTGAAAAAAAAATTTGTGTATTATTACATTATTAAATTATATACATATGGTGAGAATATTAAAATTATATACATATGGTGAGCATATAAAAATTATATACATATGGTGAGCATATTAAAATTATAAACATATGGTGAGAATATTAAAATTATATATATATGGTGAGCATATTAAAATTATATACATATTTTGAGCATATTAAAATTATATACATATGGTGAGAATATTAAAATTATATACATATGGTGGGAATATTAAAATTATATACATATGGTGAGCATATTAAAATCATATACATATGGTGAGAATATTAAAATTATATACATACGTTGAGCATATTAAAATTATATACATATGGAGAGAATATTAAAATTATATACACATGTTGAGAATATTAAAATTATATACATATGGTAAGAATATTAAAATTATATACATATAGTGAGCATATTAAAATTATATTCATATGGTGAGAATATTAAAATTATATACATATGGTGAGAATATTAAAATTATATACATATGGTGAGAATATTAAAATTATATACATATGGTGAGCATATTAAAATTATATACATATTCCCCCCCCCTGTATACGCCCTTGCTAACATCTACTTTTTTTACTCTACAAAAGTTTGGTCCATCACCATCACCGAATTTTAAATAATATCTTTGTCATTGATAATAAGTTCCTCAATGCTCCACCTTTCAACAAATTTAAAATTGCTAAAATTTACAAAGTTTAAAATGAAAAAACTTGCTATTTTCTTAGGTGTTAAAAAAAGAGTTTTAAATTATATTTTTTACAGATTGAATGGTAGATGTTATTAAGATGTGTATAATCAATCTTCTCTGGAGACATCGGAGCTGTGTTCAATCAATCAATCTACTCTGGAGACATGGAAGCTGTGTTTAATCAATAAACCTGCTCTGATAGTTTAGATGTCGAACTTATCATGTTAAAGAAAAGTCAAAATTTCTTCTTACTTTATGAAAGTAATCAGCTGTTTACGGCATCTTTTCCTACAAATCAGCTGATTTGTTCCAGTATATAGTGATTAGTGTTAAATCTTCACTTCAGGCAATCTTGTGGAGAACTTTTAACAAAACTTATTTTTAGTACTTCTTTGCTCCATTAAAGTTTTGTATTTTTAATTTTGTTTTGTACTTGATTGATTTATAGAATTTCAGTAGTTTATTTATCAAAACTTAACCTTTATAACCAAATATTTTGTAAAACATGATTTATTAATTATAGTTTTCAGATATAGAATGGCAGAGACTCAGAAAGAAGAATTAGATTTAGAAGAGTTTAAAATAAAAGAAGAGATAGTTTCCATCAAGGATACCTCTTATGTGGATACAGATATAATAGGTAAACTTCAAATTAATTGAAAGCTTTACATTTTCTCACAAACTATGAAGTGTTTTACATGAATTCATATATTATGCATAATGAGCATAAGACATTCCTCCATATTCAATGCTTATTTCAATT